TACTTAATAATTAAATTTGTAATTATAATTTACTAATCAAGTAATTATAAAAATTATAATTATTTATAATTTTAAATAAATTAATCAAATTTGCCATGCTCAGCTGAAATTGAAAGAAGCATGGCAAATCTGATTCGGTCAACATGGCTGACCGAAACATGCAGGGTGATGAGCTGAATTTATATACATATTAATGTTGAATTTTTGCCTTGACATTATTTATATTTGGAAGAATTTTATGAGATTTTACATGGGTTTCGTTCTTTGTGCAGAAAAGGACTTGGATGCATAATAATAAGAGTTTTTGAAATTAATTGAACATCTTTTGGAAGTTGAGGGACTGAACTGCAAGAAGAAAAAGGCTTCTTTGGGACCTAAATGAATGAATCTTAAGTTTTGAGATATCAATGCTCATCGTACAAAACCTGGAGGATCAGATCTGAAATTTGACCATTGAAGAAATTGCAAAACGAGGCCAGACACCCGACACGGGTGTGGTGTCGACATATAATCGGGGTATCAACACTATGCCTCAAGCGACCAGAATTACAAATTCTGTTTCCTATTTTGTGTCGACACGTAATTAAGAGTGTTGGTACTATATGTTCAGCATCCAAAAATCCTAATTTCCTATTTTATTCCGAGTCCTACTTCTCTTCTAATAAGGTTTCTTAAACTCTGTAAATACCCATTCAAAAATCAATTTTAGGACTTTTGAGAGGAGACCAAGAGAGACGGCTAAGAGGAATTCAACAATAAAAGAAGATCAAAGCTTGGGATTTTATATTATCAAACTGGTTTTGTTTGTCCTTGAATTTTATTTTATGATGTTGGACACTCATATATTCATCATGGAATTGTTGATTCTCTTTTCTTTAATTATGAACTGATTTGTCATCTAAAGCTACGATGTAGTCTGATCAATTTAATATAGAGTTTTATGATTTTTATACTTTCAAGGTCTATTATTTTATGTAGAGTATATATTATTGTTGTTAATGCTTTTTAATGATTGGCCATCATTAAAACTGATTTGGAGAGCATAATTGAGACTGAGGGGAGATTTTATGCAATAACTTCTAGTAATATATACCATGAATTGAACGAAAGCCAGAGATAGACCAACGTGATTTGTGTAGTATTAGTGATAAGTGGACTTAATTTTCTACGTAAGTTAGGGAATTTCACAAAACATAATGCATCTTTATCTATTTAAATTCACATAGAGATATAGTGGGTTAATAAGTGAAAATAGGTTTGGTATAACTTGAGAAAGTATATTAAATAGGATAGGAAATCTTGCTGTCACGTAAATAATAAATATCTTGGAAGTATATTAGTCTAAATTTTATATTACTTGATTATGGTGAAATCGGATACCTTAAAATTTTAACTCTTGGTGTTACTTAAAGTCAATATAGTTTTCGTTAATTAGTTTAGTTATTTAGTTTAGTCAAATCATTTAATTTCAATTGTTCAAATAAAATTAGAATTAGTTAATTTTGGTACTTAGTTAGGCTACAGTCTCTGTGGGACAATACTCTATTTTCATCATTATATTATTTGAACTGACTAGTACACTTGCTAGAGTGGAATTAGCTCATCATAGGGAAATCTGATTTCGGATTTCCCATGCTTGTTTCAGTCAGGCACGCTAACCGAAACATGTGGGAAATCTCATTTGCTCATTTCCCATGCTTCTTTCAATTTTAGAGTCATGACTTGACATGTCAAATTGGTTCAGAATTTTATTTTGGTCAATTTTATTAACCAAATTAATAATATTTTATGTTATTTTTTAAAATAAGATAATAGTAGATTTTTTCTTATTTTTATTCTTGACCGAATAAACTACTTCATAATTTGGTCAAGCCACTTGACCGATTTGTCTTGGCACCAATTGGCACCAAATTATTTATGTCAAGTGGCTTAACCGAAGTAAAATTGGACTGAATTATATACCTTTTTTATTTTTTGCGGATAAATCTGATATTCGGTCATCAATTTGCCCAAATTATTTGTTTTCGGTCCAAAAAATTACTTGACCGAAATAGTCAACTTTCTAGTAGTGGCAATTGATGACATGAAACCTTGCTTTATTGCAACGACAATCCTGAGTGAAGCAATGCATATATATGACTTGTAATTTGAATGTGCATTAATATTGAGAGTTGTAATACTTAGATTTTAGTGCACTAGTCAAGGATGCTATTACATGAGAAGAAATGCTAGTAATATTCACTATTACAACCTTTTTTGGATTACTGCTTCACCTTTTACTTTAGATCATTAATAGATTAAAAGAATATGAAAATAATTCATCATGAGATTGAATATATAGCTGTGATATTAATTACACCCTCAATTTATTTTTAATAGATTTAGTTTGATTTTTTTATTTTTTGAACATAAATTTCAAATGAAAATTTAACATATTATATAAGTGATAATTAAAAAAAAATTCAAATAAAAGTACTTGACAAAAACTTTATATAGGAAAATAAACTTTTCAATTGTTGTTATATAAGTTATTAAATTTTTATTTAAAATTTATATTTGAAAAGTGAGAAAAATAAAACTAAGACTACTAAAAATGAACGGAGGGTAAGAAAACATTTATATACAACCACTACATCAAACACTGCCTAAGGGTAAGATAAGCTAAGAAATGTACATCTTAGGCCATGAATAAGTCTTCTCCAGGTCTCCCACACGAAGCAGATATATCATATATCTTCTTTTGATGTAGAGGCCTTTAGCTCAAGTTTAATTAATTTCACATTCAATATTTGCTTTGCAAGCTAGATTGGCCAAAAATGTTTTGTATCCTTCTGATTTCTAAGATGTAGATAAGTTTGGCTTGAGTCGGTTGACTTGTTAGTCAATGGCAGAAGGATTCAAATTAGAGCTAAATTCTTGGCAATGTAGAGAAAAATAGGCCACCGATGGGCCATAGCTTTTGTACATAAGGGATATATATAAATATATATATATATATCATTGGACCATTTTTCACGGCAATATGTAGAAAAAAAGATAGTGAGATATATCAACTAAAATTCTTTACTCTTCCATTTCAACATAATGTCATCTATATAAGCCCTTCACCATGCATGATCTTCTTGCATCTCTAAGAGTACAAAAATCTAAACACAAAAACAAATTATGGCATCCTTTTTTGCTCACTTCTTGTTTTTTACCATCTTGCTAGTTTTTTTCCTTCAACCATGTTTCCAAAATTCATTGTGTCGGAGAGATGAACACCTTGCCTTGTTACAATTCAAGGAAAGCTTTGTCATTGATAAGCATGCTTCTTCTGATGATCCATTTGCTTATCCTAAAGTCAATCTCTGGAAATCCCAAGGGATGGATTGCTGCTTTTGGAAAGGCATATGGTGTGATCAGGACACTGGTCATGTTATAGGCCTTAATCTCAGTAGTAGCTATCTTTTAGGTTCCATCAATTTCAATAGTAGCCTCTTCCACCTCTTCCACCTCCAACACCTTAATCTTGCCTTCAATGACTTCAATTATTCTAAGATTCCATCTGCTTTTGCAAATCTTACAAGTTTAACTTATCTCAACCTCTCTAATGCTTTCTTTTCTGGACAGATACCATTTGAAATTTCAAGACTTGTAAGTTTATCCACCCTTGACCTAGCTTCCACTTACGATCGCCTTCCAGAAAAAGCACAGTTAGAATTGAAAAGGCCAAACTTGAGAAGCCTAGTAGAAAATTTGACAAGCCTGGAATACCTCCGCCTCTCTTTCAACAAAATAAATTCTAGAATTCCTAGTACCTTAGCAAATATGTCCTCCTTAAGGTCCATCATTCTTGGCGGTTGTGAATTGTTCGGAGAGTTCCCAATGGCAATTTTCCAACTACCAAAACTTCAAGTCATTGTTGTGAGTTACAACCGAGGTCTTACGGGTAATTTGCCTGAGTTTCAGTTTCACAACCAGCTTATGATTCTTGCAATTCACTATACAAGTTTTTCTGGTAAGTTACCAACCTCAATTGGAATGCTCAGCTCTTTGGAGCATTTGTATGCTGGTAATTGCAACTTCTCAGGCTTATTACCACCTTCTCTAGGTAATCTTACCAAGCTCCAAATCTTGACACTTGATAATAATAGCTTCACTGGTACAATTGAGATTGACACATTTCTTGAGCTCAAATACTTGAAAACTTTGGTGTTATCCCAAAACAATTTTTCATTACTTATCGAAACTAAGAAGAGTACCAACACCACTACTACAAAGTTTGAAACTCTAGGACTTGGTTCTTGTAGTCTAAAAGAGTTTCCAAGCTTCTTGCATAACCAAGACCAACTAGAAACCCTTGAACTTTCTTCCAATAACATTAGTGGCAAGATACCAAAATGGATATGGAAACTTAGTAAAAGATTGTCAATTTTGGACCTTTCCCATAACTCATTGACAAACTTTGAAAAATTTTCAATTTCCTTTCCTTCATCTACTCTAAAAAGTTTAGACCTTAGTTTCAACCAACTTAGAGCTTCACTACCAATCCCTCCATTGTCCATTAATTTCTTTTTAGTTTCAAAAAATAAATTTAGTGAAAACATCCCATCTGAATTTTGTAACCTAACTTCTCTCCAAGTTCTAGATCTGTCTCATAATACGCTAAATGGAATGATCCCACAATGTATTGGCAATTTTGGTAAGTCCTTGGTGATTTTGAATGTGCAAGGAAACAACTTAAAAGGTCCAATTCCTCCAACTTGGGTAGCTGGAAACAATTTAAAGGCAATTCAACTAGGACAAAACAATTTGAAAGGAAAGCTACCAAGATCACTGGCAAATTGTAGAATGCTAGAGTTTCTTGATCTTGGTAACAATCATATCAGAGATATCTTCCCTTATTGGTTGGGAACTCTTCCCAAATTGAAGATTCTCATTTTGCATTTCAACAAATTCTATGGTGCAATTAATATTCCAGAGTCGAATTCCTTGGTCCCTAATCTTCAGATCATTGACCTTTCACACAATGGATTTGTTGGTCTTCTGCCAACAAAATACTTCAATGTGTGGGGTGCCATGGTAGATGTTGATAAGGAGAACACAAAATATTGGCATGCATATGACAATTATAAGTTGAATGGCTTCATGGACGCCAATCCATACCCTTACTCAATGACAATAATAAACAAAGGAGTGAAGATGGAATATCCAAAGGTATTAGAGATTTTCTCAGCCATTGATCTTTCTTGCAACAAATTTGAGGGAGAGAGTTCAAATGTAGTAGGGAGCTTAAAGGGACTTCAACTGCTTAACCTTTCCAATAACATCCTTGTTGGTCCAATCCCACTAGCCTTGGGAAATCTCAAAAATCTTGAAGCTCTAGACCTTTCTCAAAACAAGCTCACAGGAAGCATTCCCATGCAGTTGACACAGCTCAATTTCCTTGAAGTCTTCAATGTGTCTTACAACAATTTGACAGGATCTATCCCAAAAGGCCAACAATTTGATACATTTGACAATAGCTCATTTGATGGGAATTCAGGGTTATGTGGATTTCCATTGTCAAGGAAATGTGACCACTTGAAGTCCTCGTCTCCACCATCTTCAAACTCTGAAGGAAATGAAAATTCTGGATTGCTAGCTGAATTTGGTTGGAAAACAGTGGCGTTGGGTTATGGATGTGGATTCCTTGTTGGTGTGGTGATTGGAAACATTGTTTTTGCAAGAACAAGTGAGCAGTTGATGAGGACTTACCGAATCAGGCTATTAAGGGGGAGAAGGATGAGGAGGATCCAGTGAAGATGAATGTCTATCTATTGGTGGTAGATATAGCCTTTCGTTCTGTATTTCTTTTTCCCACATTTCTCTATTTTTTCTTCTTTTTGTTTTGTGTGTGTGGATTATAATCCAAGTAGATGGAGTGCAAAACCAATGTATTGTGTGGATTGTTGTACTTTAAAGTTGAATCAATAAATTGGACTTCAACTTGATTAGATGATGTGAATTTTACTAATTTTAAATTTCAAATTTTAAATTTCCAAAGAGAGACGGAATAAAAAGCAAAAAAATAATAACGTATTCATTGTAAATTAGTTCAATTCAGTAAATACTGATGAAAAAGGGAACATATATTATGTAAAGTAAACCACAAAATATTTTAGAAGAGCTCTTTTTGATCATTTGATGTCTGGTGATTGTGATTGGTTTTTATCTTTTTGAGGATTTAAGTTGCTTCATTTAGCTCTCAGCATTATGAACGATCCTGCCTCATCGGAGATTCTCGAGTACGGAAAGGATGAATTTGCAAGCCGTGGTTGTAGCGGTGATTTCGTGATTGAAGTATAAAAATGGAGGAGTTGATCGGCAGTGTTGCAGAGGAGAGAAAAGGTGCGTTGTCTGAAATTGGGATTTATGGTGTCCTTGATTTTTCAAGCAATACATCGCCTAAATGGTGTTTTTCGGTGAAGAGGGACTTGGGCTAGTTTGAACTGGTAGCGAGTAAACCGCTGAGATGGGCTCGGTTTTCTCTAAGGGCTGCTGTGGATTTGAACCGAGTGGATATGAGCAGCTAAGATGGGTTCAATACATTGGGCCATTTCATTTTAAGCCCGTTTTGCGTAGAAAACTTCTTCTTGCCCGTGGCTAATAAGGATTTTGGCACGCGGAACGCTGCCTCTTTTAGAGTAAAATAAACTAAGAAATTTACTTCTTAAACCATGAATAAGTCTTCTCCAGGTCTCCCACGCAAAATAGATATATCATATCTTCTTTGATGTAGAGACTTTTAGGTTAAGTCAATTAATTTTACATTCAATATTTCAATATGTATTAGCTGGCTATATTAAATGTTCTTTAATTTTCTTCTAATTTTTCAAATGTAAATGAGTTTGACTTGAGCCACTTCATTTACTGGTCAATAGCAAATGAAATCAAATTAGAGCTAATTTCTAATCAACGCACAGAAAATAGGCTGCTGACGGGCCAACTTTCCCGACACGGACTACGTAATTAATTCAAATAAGAGCTAGTCAACACTTGCACACAATTTTTTAGCAATTAATTTTTTTTATAGAAATTTTTCTTGGCACGGGTTCTACTTCTTTTTTATAGGGTTTTCTTGATCCTGTAAATATTCATTCGAAATCAGATTTTGAGAGATTTTTTAGAATAAAAGAGAGATTGAAATGAGGAACTTAACAATAAAAGAATATCAATATACATTTAAAATTTATATCATTAGATTAGCTTGCTTTGTTTTCTTTTTCTTTTTTTTGACATTTCGCTTGATTATTTGAGATAAGTGGCAATGAAATATTTCATTAGTTAATTTTCAACTGCTGGGAGCTGAGCTTTCTCAGTGAGCAACGGGTAAAAAATAAGAAAATAAAAAAACTTTGCAAAATACAAAATATATAAATATAATATAAAGGAGACTGCACAGCAAGAATACCACTACCCCTCTCCAATTTTAGTTCACCAGCAGATAAAAGAGGTTCAATCCTTTAGTTTGGAAAATAAATAAATAGTAACATTTCTTTTAAGCTCAAAACTTGATGAAATGGCACAAACACAACACATGCTAAATATCTCTAAGACCACAATAATTCACAGCAGTTTCTATCAATGGCAATTCTTACCTCTTTCTCTGCCTTCCCCCATCTCCCAGTCCACAACTATTGAGGTTGTCCCACTTCCACCACTAAATGATATCAAGTGTCCAACAGCAGAAATCAAATTCCTGGACTAACTATTGATAGTAGTTCACTGAAACAAAATTCTAAGCATATGAGGGAAAACAGAGTCTTGAGAAAATGCTAGTCAAATACTTAGATGGATTAGTTTATGGAGAAGAACCAAAAAAAAAAAAAAAATTGGTTTCATTTGTAGACCAAAATAACAACCACAAATGCTTCCAAAAATGAAATGGAGAGTATTGATCCAAGTTCAATAGGACATACAAATATGCATTGAAGCTTAAAGTGAAAGAAAAGTTTGTCGCACCTGTTTTCGACTTCTTACAGTTGCACTTTCTCAACTGTAAAATATAAGTAACAAAAGGATTGGCAAAAAGAGATTAAATCTTAAAACATGAGACTATATTTAAATCATTGAATAATGAACTAAAGGAAAATCTGATCAAACCACATTTGATCACAATACTTCAATAACATCAGTAAAAATCTCCTCATTTTACCTACTTGGCCAGCAGACTTTGCCCTTGGATCAGTAGCACAATTATCTATTGCATAGGACATCAAGTGCAATTGATGTCAAAATCAAAAGCATCCAGTGCAAAACATTGAATAATGAACTAAAGGACATTCTGATAAAACCGCCTTTTATCACAATACTTCAATAATATCAGTGAAAATCTCTTCTCACTTTACCTGCTTGGCCCGCAGATTTTGCACTTAGATTAGTAGCTCAATTATCTATTTGCATAGGACACTAAATGCAACTGATGTCAAAATTAAAAGCATAAAGATAGAACAATTTTTCTAAAAACATGGCATGTGTAATCACCAGTTTTCTTTCAAACCTTTAGACTAATACTTTTTTGAAGCTATAGCCCTATCAATACAACACTCATAGCTATTAATCAGAGATGCTCAACGAAAAATAAGAAAATTTTACTAACTGAAATCAACCAATATAATCAACAAAACCATCACAAAGCTATTTGCTAGCTGAAATTCATGCAAGAAATCATGAAAAGCAGAACACTGAAGAAAAGAAAATGGCTAACAGAAAAAGCAAAGAAAAAAAAATGAAAAAGGAAATTTACCTAACCACCAAAAATCTATGTGGCATTTTACCATTAGGAACTGCATGTTAGTAGCTAGTAGTCATCCGCAGCATTCTACTACTAGAACCGATAACTATCCATATTGTGAGTTAGCAATAACATTCTACTACTAGGAGCAACTATTTCTCAATAGGCCATGACAAATCCACATCGTGAGTGAGATAGTTAGGATCCACTTATTCTCAGTAGCCAGTAGTGATCCTGATCTGTATCCGTATTATGGGTAAACAAAAGCATTTGAATAAAAGAAGCTACAAATTTTTAAGCGCCTATAGCACAAGGTTTTCCCTAGTATGTGTGGTCAACTGATTGCCACATGACGTTTTCCGACGTGAAACCATACATATAATGCCATAGCTGTTACTGGTTCCAAAAAAGAACGCCCGCCAATGTTTTCAGTAGCCCCAAGTCCAACCATCAAGAAATTCATATGTTAGCCTCACTGCTTAGATCCATGATAGAAATTTATATATATATATATATATATATATTGAATCATAAAAATCAGAATTAAGTAGTAGACAAGCTGAAGGTAACTCAAAAGGCATTAAAAGACACCAATTTTAAGTG